AGATGTTACAATGCTTGACTATATGGGTTAAGTCGTACCTTGTCATATGGGTTGGCTCCTACCCAGCCACATAGGTTGGGTCATGCATAATCACATGAGCTAGATTATACTTGGTCACATGTGCTAGGTCGTATATGACCATATGGGCTAAATCGATTCAGTTTGACATATCAACTAGACTCAAGTAAGACCCCAATTAGACTTCTCTTAAAATTATTAAAAAATGATTCAAATCCATTAATTAAAACTTTGAATTCATGATCTTAAATTTAAAACTAATTACATTATAGAAATTCACACATAATTCTTAAAAATATGGATATATCTAATTAAATAAATTAGAACTATTATGCCAATCCAAGAATAAGAATTTTAATAATTAAATCAATATTAAAATTTACTTAAGCTTAAGAGATCAATATAAATCAAATAATCATTCTAACATCACAAAATAATTATCATTATTTACTAATAATAAAATTTTAAAATTAAAATATCATTATGCATCATAAAATTATAACAATCTTAATATCAAGATTTCAAAATATGAATCAAAGCCAATTAAAAAAAGAAATGATCATACCTTTCTTCGACTATCCTTTTCTCGATATCATCTCCTCGGGAAGTCCTCTCCTCAATCCTCTCATTGTTAGGCTTGGTAAGTGAAAGAGAGTAGCCTCCTTTATATAAGAGAATATGAGATCTCCTCGAAAGGTAAGTAATAATTTAATTTTTATTTTTAATTTATTTTTATTTTACTTTAATACACAAAGAGAGTAATATAATATTCATTTCTTATAGTTCGCACACAAAAATGAAATATAAACTATTTACTTCCTAAATATCAAATCACTCATTAGAAAATAAATTAATTAATAATTTAATTGATTAGTAGAATTCTTAACTTATTCACATAATTAAGGAAATCAAATTTAATCATTTCCTTAACTATAGTACACAAACATAGAACTTAATAATAAAATAATATATTATTTATAGTAATTAATTTATATTAAGGGAGAAATTATTGGTGATTACAAAAGTCTCGAGAATATTATTCTCAACCAAAGTACAAAGCTAGATTAGTTGTAAACGGCTTTGGTCAAAGGAAAAGTATTGACTTTGAAGAGATTTTTTCTCCTATTGTTAAAATGTCTTCTATTCGTATTGCTCTTGGTATTGCTACTAGCTTGGACTTGGAGGTTGAGCAGTTAGATATGAAGATAGCTTTCCTTCATAATAATTTAGAGGAGAAAATTTATATGGAGCAACCAAAAGGCTTCAAAATCAAAGGTAAAGAAAACTTTGTCTACAAGTTAAAGAAGAGCTTGTATGGGCTGAAACAAGCTCTAAGATAGTGATATCGAAGTTTAATTCATTTATGACTGAAAATGAATATAAAAGAATGACTTTAGATCATTGTGTGCACATCAAACGGTTTGGTGAGGATTTTATTATTCTCTTACATTATATTGATGACATTCTTATCCTTGGGAAAGATATGTCTACAATTAACACGTTGAAGAAGGAACTGAGTGAATCTTTTACAATGAAGGACTTGGGGCCAGCAAAGCAAATACTGGGCATGCAGATTTTCCGTGATAGAAAAAATAAGAAGATTTGATTGTCATAGGAGAAATATATCGAGAAAGTATTGGAAAGGTTCAGTATAAATAATGGAAAGCTACTTGGTTCTACTCTTGTAAGTCACTTCAAGTTGTGCTTAGAATAGAGTTCGTTAAGTGACGAGAAGAAGAAAAAAATGCAAAAGATTTCTTATGCTTCAGTAGTTGAAAGTTTAATATATGCAATGATATGCACGAGGCCAGACATCACATATGTAGTGGGTCAAACTAGCATATTTCTTGCAAATCCAAGCAAAGAGCATTGGATAGTAGTGAAGTGGATCCTTAGATATCTCAAAGGAAGCTCTAAAGTTTGTTTAAGTTTTAGAGATAGACCACCTGTGCTGACAGGTTACACAGATGCAGATATGACAAGAGATATAGATATAAGAAAATCCACATCAGGTTTTGTACTTACTTTTACAAGGGGAGCTGTGTCATGGTAATTCATATTGCAAATGTATATTGCTTTCTCTACCACAAAGGTAGAATATATTGTTACTATAGAGATTTGTAAAGAAATATTATGGATGAAAGAATTCTAACAATAATTGGAATTGAAACAAGAAAACTATATGGTGAATTGTGACATCCAGAGTGTCATTTTCATTCCAAGTCAAAGCATATAGATGTCATATACCACTGAATTCAAAATGTACTTGAAGAGAAATAGTTGTAACTTCAAAAAATTCATATATATAATAATGGAGCAGATATGTTAACAAAGATCTTACCGAAAGAAAGGTAGGAGATATGCCAATAGTTGATCGGCATGATTTCACGTTGAGAAGTCATGAGATAGCCTCCTTTATGGGCTGAAAGGGAGGGTTGTTGGGTTAATAGCCTATGAGTTCAGCCCATAGTAAGCTTTAACAATAATATGGGCTACGAAAAAGAGGGAGAAAACTACAACAATAGGGGCAAAAAACTATAGCAATAATGTGATTCAAAAAAAGATGAGAAAATGGTAGAAAAATAAAAGAAAGAAAGGAAAAAAGATAAGGATAATGCAAAGAGACTATTCTCAATCATCTAGGCAGCATTTTCATCTTAGGTTAGATCAGATCTATAGTAGATTCTTATTGTGATTACTTGGGGAGATTTTTTATATTGTGTACAGTAACACAATCCTTGTAACTCAATTATTCTTTTGTGATTGCTATTTGGGTTTTGGGCAAGAGACTCTGAGATTTATATATTCATTATTCTTATAGTGTATTTTCTTTGGTTGCCTCATAGTTTTTACCCTCCCATTAGAGGGATTTTTTACGTAAATCTTGATATCATATTTTATTATGATTTTATTTAATTCTACTGTATGTTATAACCTACTTATATTTGTTTGTATATAAAGTTTGTTATCTCTTTCTATCCCATCAATATCTTATATATCTTGTGCTTCTACCCAGGAGGATGATGGACGAACACACGTGCGCGGAAGGGGAGAATTACAAAATCATTGATTCCTTTGATTCATACTGTTTAATTCATGTACGCTATATATTCTTTGAATCTGGACTCATCGCTTTTTTTTTATATTGGACTCCGTAATGATTGTCACTACGATTTGAGTCTGTCTCGGTTAAATTATTCCGAGTGTTCGCAATTTGGGAAGATAGACGTGAACAAGAACGGGTCACACGGACTACCATGCATCGAAGAAACAAGTAGAGCTCCTGAGGTAATAAGGCATTATCAGGTTAACATGATCGTCGATGATTTGTCAGCCATCAGGTTCTTAAGTTTTGGTAATCGGTGGATCGAATTTCCTGTTAGTTGCGACGGATAATAATCTTAATCTCGGGGCATTTTTTTTTTCTAATCCTCCTCTATGTATGATGCTTTCTGGCATGAATAGGTCAAAACCTGACAATGAAATCACAGTAGGAAAGACCCTAAAACGACAAATCAAGATAAACGCTAAGCAAATCGTTGAATTCTTGGGAATCGGAGTTACAAGGGCCAAGTAATTATGAGCAATGAATTGCTCAAAGCTTTTCTGTGTTACGGTTGACGGTCGAATTCAAATTGCTCGCATATGCGGACTCCCGTCACAGAGAGAGAGAGAGAGAGAGGTGATCCGGTGTGCGACTCATGCATTTGCAGGCACACCATAAGAACTCCAACCAAAGCAATGCCGAAAATAAGTACGTAGCCAATTATGGATTTTATTTCTTGTGGTTCATAACCAATCGCACTAGTACGAACACCACGCACCGTATCCTCTTTGACATCAATTAAATTAGAAAGAAATGGCAGTAGGAGAACAACAACGAAAGAATACGGATCGATGTCAACGACAAGAACCATTATACAGCAAACCCTCCCTGAATGAGGCGGCTGCTGCTGCTTCCTTCCTTCTTTCTTTGTTCTTGTGAGGCTACTGCAGGTACAAGGCAAAGAAGGAGAGGAGGGAGGCCCCGATCGCGGCCCCCACCGCGGGGTTGATGGCGAAGGAAGCACTGGCGGGGCCAGGGGCAGGGGCCTCGGCTGCCAGGGTGGTGGTGGCCGAGGCGGCAGCGATGAGGACGGCACAGGCGATCTTTCTCATCTCCATTGCTGAGCGAGAGAACTCGAGCGGAGACCTCCTCGTTAGCTGTGGAAGAGATGAGAAAGATGGTAGGGCTCGTCTCTCCTATACAGACCCGAGGAAGAAAGGTAGGGGGTGGGAGGGGTTTTTATAGGACCCTTTGGTGGTCTGACTGATCCCGTGGAATGCAGTTGAGGATTTGTGGCCTTTGGGCTTGGTGGAGGTGGCCATGTCGGCGAGAGGATGAAGGGTTACGTGCTTGCATGCGAATGGTCAGTGAAGATTTTATTGACCACACATCAATGGTTAATGGTAGACAACCAGAAATAGCGAGTCTAATTGGAGATGTGCTGATTGCATGTAGATGGCGTGGCCTGATGGCTTTCGCTGTCATGTGATCCCCATGTCAATGTGGTTTAATTAGGACTGCCCGAACAATTAGCAGCACACTGCAACGATGAATGGCCGGTGGAGGAGAGGAATTATCAAAGCTGTTCATGACAAGCACTGATACATACATTAGCAGAAGAGAGATTATTTTAAGATTTAAACTCTGTCCAAATTCTTACGAAGTTGATGAATTCTTCTTCCATCCATGGTTTTGACGTGGTAGACGTACACGTCTTTACAACTGCAAGTTAATATTTAAAGCAAACGAAGAGAGAGCGAGAGAGCAGGGTAGGCTGGACACGTGAGATGGCCGACTGATAGAATAAGAAGAAAAGGAACCATTAGAATCTAACCGTCCTCCATACCACAAATGCTTTGAAAACGATTCAAAGCATCCAAGGACATACCACCAAATATTTCTATCAAAATATTCATCATCCAAGAATAATCTTGCATAGAATTCACATAAATATCTCTGATTTTGACTTCATATGAATCATCTTGATCTCATCTTTTAATATGTATCCAACAAATAAAGATTTACTAGTATCATTTATTAAGTTTCACCCATCTTATCTATGGTCTATCCAAGATCATAGATTTACCTTGCTCACTGTTGTTAGGGTGTTCGATCATGTCATGAGTCAAGATTGATGTAGACTCATGTTTAAAGACGAGCTCACCACAACCAATATAGAGCAGTGGTAATAATAGCCCTGAAAAGCAATCGAAATCTTTCCCCCATCTATACATCCTAATTAACCCACTCACCCTCATGACATATATGAAATAAATTGAAATGCATTCCAAGTTTCTATTCTATCATGTTCCATGTATTACATGCAAAGGAGCAGTAAAAGAAATAATAAAAAAATGACTTAGGTTCTAGTCAATAAATAGTACAAAATTTAGTATTATACACACCCAACTGGGTAAATCTGATAGTCGTAGGAAGGAAACAGTGTATAATTTTTTAACAAAATAACCTTATCCTATATATACTAGTAATTTTCACAACCTACACCACCAATCCACACTTGACATAAAATTGCTCCTTGGACAATGTAAATATCAATAAGCATACTTACACAAAATAATACCTTTCTCGTCATGCTTGCAAAGCTAAAATCAATTTGTGGCATAAGAGCAAAATCCAATTGACAAATGACCTTAGATAAGACACTCTTAAATATAAAATAAAGCTTATACAAATTCCAAGAACCATTATAAAATAAATCCAAAACCACATAAGGGTTTTCCAACTCAAAATATTATAAAAGGTAGGTTTTAAAGAAATCAGCAAATTTAGAACCCAAGGATCAAAAAGAACTCTAATTGTTGAATCATTACCCTGAAAAATAGAGAAACCATCACACAATTTTTCAAAAATGATTAAAAATAATCTCTAATACTATTTTAGAAGAAAATTATAAATTTATAGAATCAATACTCTCATACTTTGCCCTAACCACTTAAACCCACAAGCTATTAGAATTATTCAGATATTGCAAAATCATTTTCTCTTGGAGAGCAAACTTCATAATGTGCAACTAGAGTTCTCACTACTACCCCAAAGAAATTTTCTGACAGATTTCATAACCCCATCAAAGATAATATTCAACATCAAAAGACACTTAAGGAGTGTAGAGGAATGAAATTCAACATACAACTAATCAAAACAATATAACCCGTGTGTAATAAATAAGTCCTTTTTTAACTCTTAATCCAATCTATACCAAACCAATAAAATAAAATTTACTAACTCTTTAAAGAGCATAAAAGTTTCTAGGTACTTAAAAGGAAAAAACACCTCAACCCTAAATAAATTATATATATCCCTCCTAACACCTCTAAGAGTATTCTTGGTGAAGAAAATCTTAAATTTAAATAGATTAATCCTTTGATTAGTAAGGGTCTCATAAAGTTAAATAGATTAATCCCTCCTAACACCATTACCACTTATTAGACCTAAAGCAAAAAATAATATCATTCACATATAAGATGATAAATTTTAATTTTTTTAAAATTAACAATAGTGATTAGCTTCTTGTCACAGGCATCATTATGTAGGAGAGTAAAATTCTGGACAACAAAAATATAGAGAAGGGTGATACAAGCTTCTTATCACCCTGTATAATTTGACACTTATCTTTAGAAAAAGATCAAAGGTTACCCATTGACAAGGCAAACAAAAGAATGAGAAGAGATACACATAAAAATTTAATTCATAAATTAAATTAAAAATTTAGTCATATTTAGCACCCTAAAGAGAGCATGCTAAGGAGGTCGACTATAAGCTTTTTTAAAATATAATTTAGCCATAACAAGTGAGGACATACTCTTAGAATTGTACATAGAGTGAATCACCTCTTGGGCAACGAAGATGTTATCATGGAGAGATTTATTTGAAATAAAAGTAGATTGCTCCTTAGAAATTAGAGAATCCAAATAAGTCATAAGTCTATTAGTCAAGAGATGCAATACTTCACATTATAGAGAGATATAGGTGGAAACCTTTTGATCTCATTAGGATTATTGATCTTAGAAATAAAGATAAGAAAGGTATTAGTCCAATCAAAGGGAAGCACAACACGATCAAAGAAATCTTAGAATGTTTGTATCATGAAATCAAAAATAATATTATAATAAAATCTATAAATCTCTACAATAAAACTATCCCAAGACTTTGCACAATATGCCCCAATAAGCCTCAATTTCAAACCTAAAGAATTGATAATATCCTAAATTTCACTTTGGCAAAAAGCTCAAATTAGATATACTAGAAGAAATGCCCTAATGATCGACCATGTTGGGCTTTGCACAACATGCTTATCAACCGTCCAAAGCTAGGAGTAATACTCGTCAAACTCGTTCCTAATATGAATAGAATCCACATTAGTTTTAACATGATGAATGAAATTTCTTCTCCGATGACAAATGACCAAAGCATGATAATACTTAGTATTTTGATCTCTTTCACTAATCCATTTAGTCTTAGCTCAGGACCATCATTTCAAATTAATTTGTCCAAGAAGGATAGCATATCTATTATAAAGACAAGAGACAAGAAGCTTTTCAGAATCATCATGACCTCTCCTTGACTCTATATACTCAAGAAGTAATATCCTATTAGTAGACTCTAAAGCATTCTCAATCTTACTTGAACAATATTTATTCCAATAAGATAAACACTCCCTGGACCTATGTAGATCGGGGAAAATATCATTCAAGATGAAGAGTGCTACATATGTTGAACAATGTTTCACACATTATCATAGTCAACCCAAAATTGATGAAATTTAAACAAATGAGGAAGACTTTTTTTTCATATTAATATACAATGGTCAGAACAAGTGCAAGGCGAGTAAGAAAGCATCAAACCACCAAACAAGTTCAGCCAAATACTATTAGCATAGATCCTATCAAGATGCCCAAAAATTTGAGCATTGCCTGGATGATTGTTATAATAAGTAAATTTTGGAACGACGAATCTTAAATCCGTTAAGCTCGAGTTAGCAATAAAACTATTGAAGTTTCGAACTGAAGAATTTATAATGAAATCCATTTATCAATAATTGATGCAATACAATTAAAATCCCTCAAAACGGCATATGGAAACTCAGGTAGAGCAACCAATCCCAAAATAAACTGTTACTGTACAAGAAAATACTCACATAAATCCCAATGAAAATCCAAGGATCATTCTTCCTCTCTTGAATAATAGTATAAAGGTAGTAAGTATGGGAAGAAAATACCTAAATTTGAATCATCAAGAAGTTTCAGAACAAAATGATCCCTCCAGATGCACCCTTCGTAGGTACGTCCATGAGCACCATCCGGATCCAAGTGCGTCTCCTGCAAAACGAAAACCAGATTGCAACCGCAAGATCAGGCAGCAAAGTGAATCACATCCTTAATAGGGCCATGTAGGCCACAGATACAAGCAAACACGTATACATATATGCACATTTAAACGTCCATACATATATAGCTATGAGTATATTTCTGTCATCTGAACAGATTGGATAACGAAGGTGAAAATTCAATCATTTCCACAAATGAACAATCATGATTATGATATTGATTGCTGCAGCGTCTGCTTCCTCCCAATCTATCATCCATCATCGTATCTTGCAAATAGAACAATCAATCATACCAAGCTTTCAGCATCAAACCCTGGTTGAGATTGGTGAATTGGTGATCGATCATTGGGTAATTTTCTTTCGGCAGTCAGCACTGTTGCTTGTTGCTTTATCACGCAGTAATATATTGATAGGTCGGTCCATGTTACTCCGGTACTTTTAGTGAATGAGAAATATTATAGATAGCTGTAGAAGAAGAAGAAGAATAAAAAATGACACCCTTACTCCCAGTAGCAATAGCCGTGAGTGATGTCATCGATGATGTTTCTTAGGCCTTTAATAAGTTTGGTTAGGATAGCTATTCTTGACAGTGATTTGTGAGTGACTAAAACGTTGTATTTTATTAGTCTGCTACAATTTGCTTCATGATCACATCTCAGCACTGAGTTTTCATACGTGTATTTGAACAAACAAAGAGGTAGAGTGCAACACATTGAGAAGAAAGGTTCTGCTCTTCCATCCAACTGCAATAATTCAGCACATTTGCAGAGCCTGCTACTTGACAAAGCCCTACCCTATTCATGGTCAATGAACTACCTGGCGAAGACGCGTATCCGGTCGAACTAAGAGAACAGAAACCACAATCCATCCGCTTTCT